TAGAGATTTGACTCTTGAAAGATATACTGAACAGTTACCGTTACTTGTAACTGGTCGTTATCGTTACTTGTACGGTAACTGCTTATCCGTTACCGTTACCAAGAACGTCAACTGTTCAGCAGTTACAGTTACCGAGTAATAGTGGTAACAGTAACTGGTAACTGTCACAGCCCTAGTCTAGACGGGTTCTTCAACCGCATTCACCGAGAAAAAAGTTATTTTTGAATCGAAATGCACGATTACACGATTTAGAAAATCGTTATAAACAACAGACATTAACACTAGAAGAATATCTTGAAAGAGTGATGCGATTAATTGGTATCAAAAAGTTTTGATTTTCATTTATTTTTCGTTTGTGTTATTTCTTTCTCTAATACTGTACGCATGTACTTTTTCAATAGAATCATTTGGAATAATTCAACATTCTTTTTAATTAGTTTATTTAAAAAAGGCTTATTAATTAATAATAATCTATATTCTAGTTCTAGTTTTATTTTTCGACTAAACAGGAACGCCAGAAAGAAAGCTCTACAAATTTTTTCGACAAAACAGGGATATTATAATATCCCTGTTTTGTTAAGCTTAATTATAATTAAGCTTTCGACGAAACGGGAATTCACCCGATTATGGAACTCATAAAGGGACTGCTTCTGTGATTCATGAACTAATAAATAAAAATATGGTGCGAACATATCCCAATGCCATTCCCAGATGCAGACTACGAAAAAGAAGATACGTTAAACCCTCACCCATAATAAAAGACCATCCCCTATTAGAAGACCAGCCTAACGTTTGTGCGTTGCAAGCCGGTATAGAGCAGCACAGTCTTTCATTTCTGCTGTATTTCTGAAAAGAAATAATTATATATTTCGAATCAAGGGAAAGAAGTATTTGAACGTGTTTTTTGAAATCAGTATAACGAATGTGAGTAAGAATTATTTAAATATAACTTTTTGGAAAAGTCAAATATTGTCATCAGAGAGCCATCTTCTACATTTCGTAAATCTAACTCAATGTGATGAAAATGACTTTGAGTCCTCTTCAGCTCATTCGGATGACAACGTATATAAAAGATCATTACTAGAATATAACATTGACTTTAGATAAATGTACTCATGAATTGTGAGGTAGACGTTGATCTCAATAGAAGACCACCCTTAAAGTTTTGAGTTGCCGGACAAAATAAAAGACCACCTGGTCTTCTATTACGAGGAGGGGTTTACTGAAGATAATGAACCTCTAGATATCCAAATCCATTTAGGCGAAGAAAACTTAATTCTAAACGTGATGTGAATCATCGATTTGTGCTTCTATACCTCGAGAACGAAGCAGTTTTAAGTGACAATAATTATATCAGTATCTAGTTACAAATAGGAGCAGTGTGTGCTCTCGATTTTAAATATAGTGGTTGTTGTAAAATGCGTGTAGAATAAGAACGAAAAATCGCGCAGAACTCGCCGATGCCTGAGGATTTTGTAGAAAAATGTTTGCTTTACATTTCTGATGGTATCTACTCAGACCTTTGGGATTCGCATTATCAAAATTTAGAAAAGTGACAAAAAATATCAGCTAAATCTCGATCCTTGTCGGTCTCCAATATTGGTTTTTTATCAGATGTTTTGCTAAAATGCCAACTAATTATTATATAATGCATTCAAATACAGCATTTTTTTCCAGCTTAGCATCAGCTTTTTTCGATTTTTCTATGACATTAACGAAAGACAAGATGAGAAGAAAATTATTATGTCATCAAAGTTATTCATAAATATTATTCTACGATACATCTTTCTTTCATGGACACAAAACAAGTGTAAGTCATAGTATGAAAGAAAGTTTTAATGATCAAGAATGTTATGACGCACAATTAAATTTCTAAGGTTAGACAAACGTCTGTACAAAAGCAGATAATTTTGCACGTACTTCATACTGTTTGTGTACGGATTGTACGTATTGAAAATATTCCATTGCTTTTTGTGTTCTTCGATAAGAACTCCCTAACTTTCGTGTCACATTACGCACTACGCCTACAATCTAGAGAAAGCTAGAATCTTTAACCCTTGTACTCTCAAGCGTATTTTAGACACAATAAATAGAATGTATTTCATATTCGATCCATGCACAAAGAAAAATTTCATCGCATTTTCTTGTTCTTTAAGAACAGAGTCTAAATAGACCCTGGTTGGTAGTACAAGGGTTAACTGCGTTCGGAGTAAGCGAATGTCGACTTACAATATTTGATGTTTGTACTGCATTAAGTATATCAGATAAACTTTTGGCAACAAAATCAACAGTCATTTCTGATGTATTGTATATTACTTGAAGTTTTAAAAGCATATATAACACACGTTTTTCGATTACTTTTAAATCAGGATCATTTTGTTCTTCATCTGTGTCGTTATTATCTGTCATTTCAACCTCACAATCAATTTCATTATCAACCATATCGGTGTTGTACTTAAAATTGCTGGTATTTCCAGTATCATCTCCTCCTTCATTATCGTCAGAGTTGCTAGATGTATGCTTTTTTTGGCTCCAATGAGCCTGAAAACGTCTAAAATTTTTAAAGATAGTATTATAAGCGCATTTCAGTAAAATATCATTTCCATCGCTGTAATTATTCTGTATATGTTCGATGCATTCGTTTATCCGAAAATAATCAATATTACAACAAGAAAACATCTGAAAACAAAAATAAATACGTATGATTGTTTAATTATTTTTTTAGACATTGGGCAATTTTCTTTTTTGGGCAAAATAATTTGACAATTACGATAATGTACAAGACGAAGTGAGAAATTTTCTTGATAAATTAAATATTTTTAAAGACGTAGAACCACAATCACATGTAAGTCCTGACCAATCAACCAGACTGCTATCTATATATGCACAACGTTTTATCAAACTGATGCAGATTTATTGGCAATTGACGCATTTTTGTACAGACTCAATGCAAAAAAGCTGCTGTTTTATATTATGCTGTTTTATTCATAGTAAGTTTATCTGTTCTATTTTGAAAGGCTTTCTTAGAGATCGTTGCCTGATTCCTTTTGGCATCTACTTAATATCGTCAACACAAGATAAATATTAAAGGGTATTTGACGACGAATCATGTTAAAATAAATTTAACTATGAAATCTGGTGGAATTGAATATCTTCTTATTGTGTTATGGGCAACGTTTTTATTAATATATTCATAAAGATCTTTACTTCTCTTGATACGAATCGGGCACTTTTCATCTCAGCATACATAGTTTACATTTAAAGTATAGTGTTAGACCTTTTTCTGTTCAGTGAATTTGATTGCATTGATTCTTCATGTTCTACTGCCTTTGAATTATTGAACAATCCAAGAACAATCTTTACAGTCCGCAAGTATGCAGATAAGAGAGAGAAATTAAGACTTCAGTCTTGAATTTTTCGCAGTATTTAATCTTTCCAACTTCGTAATGTAGTTCCAAGCACGCCTACCTTTTGTTTTATTTTCGAATGTCAATTACAAGAAAAAGGTCTTGAATTTAAACCAGGAGAGTGTTTCATTAAAATTCTTAAGTGTTCGAATTAAGAATTTTAATAAGGCATTTAAGAATTACGAATCATATGTCAATTCCACCTGTTCGTATAATAAAAGCCGAGTCAATGGAATTGACTGCTGTACATACATACAGCAAAGAAAAATATATAGTTGAAGACAAGGCAACAGTTTCATCATTTTAGACTATTTGTGATAATAATATAAGCATTAGTTAACAGATTAAATTAACAGATGTATATCGATTAGCATCATCCAAATGGATGACACGTTAGATTCAGTTGCATCTACATAGATCAAAGACCTGACATTATGTTTGAATACAACTTTTTTCTACCTTTTCTCGTGCATTCGTGGATGGTAGTAAGATCGTTAACGAACAAATCCAATAACATGGACGAAAAGACACCGAACAGCTTGTTAATCAACTATTGTTATTTTTAAATTTAAAGTTTTGCAATTATATAATAAAAAATATGAAAATTCTCAATCAGTATGCAACAATCTGAAAGAATCCATTTATATAATAGTTTATGAAGATAATATTTTTCTTTTGTTTCTATCTAACATGTAACACTTACTGATTTACGAAAGCACAGGGAGAATAGAATGATAAAAAATAGATGATGGTTTTTTGTAAAATTGTTGAAGACTAAACTCTTTGTCAAAGCATTCATTATAAATAAAATCATGCCATCTAGTATAAGTTAGTGCGTATGACCTGACGTCAGGTGACGTAAAATCTGTTAGGTGACGTAAAACCTGAATAGAACAATAAAAAGTTTCTATCACAAAATGAAAGATGTTTGATTTGCTATATTTGTACAAAATAAATTGTCAAGATGTTATATTATCCATGAGTAATTATTTAAAGTGTTTCTGATAAGACACATATGTTTTTCCTTTCTTTTATTGTTTTTATTAATTTTTAAAGTACCAGGTTTTTGTTGAAAAACAGAACAATAAATTATCAAACCTGAAAGCATGAGATATCGACTTATTTTAATTCTATTTTTGATTTATCTTCCATTTTCAAATATGTTATTGATCAATTCAACTTATGAAACTATATATCAAACATTGTTAGCTAACATATCAAACTACAATGTTTTATTTGAACAAGCAGAAACACAATATATTTCCATTACTCCATTTGTACCTCAATCATCATCAAACTTCTCCCAAGTCCATCATTGGTTTCGTTTAGATTATTATGGTGTTCATGTTGTCGTTATACATGGTGAATTACTCGATCAAACCTACGATTATGATGTGTGCCGAAATTTGTTACAATTTAGCTATTTATTAGTAAGAGATGCTGGTGTATATATAATGAGTGGTGATTCAGAAACATATGCCTTCAATCTTCTTGTGATGACGAATCACCAACACTTTTCATTACGATTAGACGATCATACTATTTACAGTGAGGAAGATTTTCAACGAAGTGTTGTTCGATTACCATTAACAAATAAAAAATATGAATTTAATATTTTGCTGACAATTTATTATTATTTGTCGTTTAATAACACAAATCTATATGACTTAGATGAACAATCAAATGACCTATTGACATTAATTTATTTAAAACCGTTATCTGGGGTTAATGACAATACAATGGTGTTTGATAATGAAGAATTTTGTTTTAATAATACATATTTATCAGGTTCAAATGATGTTAAACTACGTGTATTAACAATTACATGTTCGAAAAATGTGACATTTTCTTGCGGCGATGTTAATAAATGTTTGATATACGGAAAAATAATACCATTTTATATTCAACCGAGACGATTTGATCCATTTATAATTCTAAAACCAACATTACAATATCAACTTAGGATAGAAGAAAATGAAGCTACAACAATTTCACAGAGCACATTATCAAGCGAATTACCAGATGGCGCAGTAACTGACAGTACGCAACTAGCATCACGTAGTAATGTCGAGTTTTCAAACACCACCATAGACATGAACCGCGACGTTTCTGTCGATCACTCAACTGGCTATACGAACAAGTCACAGATTTCTTCTACAACATCCACTGAGAGCTCATTTCGTTCTACTATCACAATTACTGTTAGTACCACTACACGAAAAAATATATCTTCCTTTAATTCATCCAAACCAGTAACAAAATTTTGTTTCATTTTCATGATCCTATTTCATAGAATAATATTCCTAAATAAATAAAATAAGAAACGTTCTGGGTTCATCTTTTTGCTCAGCGATACAAACTAATTAATAAAACTCAAGATCAGTATGAATCAACACAATCAAGATGAAGTTTGTATGTTTAGATCAAAACAAGTTATTTTATGGTATATTATCTTACCATCGATATCAACATTATAAAATTAAGAATGTTGTAAAATATATTCACTGACCGATTCAAAAATTTCTCTATCGACAGTATTGTAGTGATAGAGAAATAATGAATTGAATGTACAAGTCTTTTCTAATTTACAAATTTTCATAACGAAGAACTAACTGATGGCGGAAGCCCTCCAGGGCCGTAGCCACGGGGTAGGAAAACAGGGCATGTGCCCACCCCTTGAGATTTTACTTCAATGTATAATATACACTAAACTTATAGGTGACAAATGCCGTTTGGAGCTAAAACGCAAGAAAAAGTGCTCGATCCAGCTTTAACATGGAAATTCAGACTGTAAAGGTGGAACTTTTTTGTAGATACCCACCCCTTACCAAATTTCTGGCTACGGCCCTGAAGTCTTTCGTCTGACGTTTCGAACTCACACTCTGTATATAAGCGTGCAATTTGGCAAAATCTTTTGTACTTCTAAAACTCCTCTCCCAAAAGAGAAGGGAAAACAAAAGCGATAAAATAAAAATCATTAGACAAATAAAAATATACAAATGAATAATGTACTTTTTTAAAAAACATAACCCTTCTGTGATACATCGTATTAATATCAAAGAACATATTCTTGGAAACGAACAAAAGAATGCTCAACAAAACAAAGAAAAAGTAATATCCAAAGGAGATTCCATTGATCGTATAACTGATGTGTATAGCAGTCATCACACTGATAGCAGAGAGAGATAACAGTAGAATATCGGAAAGAACTTTGATTTAATAATAGATAAGCGAAGTTCCCTTCGAAGTTTCGAAAGTTTTCACTTTTGTTCGAATTTTATATAATAATCTCACTTCGAAGTATTAGCGTATCGACGCGACATCTTTTCAGCAGTATAGTGTAGCATCATACTTTATTCTCATTCACACATTCAGTTACTCTTTTCGAAGTACTTTTTACCGTATTATTCTGTAAAGTTAATTTATGAAGTCACTGATTGTTAAGTCTCTTGAACACTCATAGAAAATGGCCGATAGTTGCATGTTTCGTCCACCTCTGCATGTTCTGTTTTTGAAATTAAAAGGTTGGGATACACTAGGATTAATAGTTAAGACTCATTTTTGGCGTATCCATCAGCTATAAACTCCCTCTATCTCAATGAATGATAGTTCTAACAAAATATTTTTGCAAATCGAAAGTATGTCTGACGATTACTTATGGCGTTGACCTTTATTTCTACATTGCCAAAACTGAACATTTGGAAGGAATTGAAAAAATACAATTGCTGATGCCATATGTATTAGAGAAAAGTACACCCTATGATGCAGATCTTTTAAAACGAAAAAAATGATTGATTGATGTAATGAGTCTGAGGGTGTTGCATATATTTTTATGAGGATAAAGTTATTTTTGTCAGAACATGTGATTTAGAATCTAATGTCATTCATGCTTTTATGTTGATAAATGACTGGGAAGACGAGGAGTCGTTTAATAAAAACTGCATAGATGAGAAGTGTCATCAGTATAAACTTTCCTACGTAAACAACATGATTCTAACTCAGCGTTTCCCAAATGGGGTTCCGTGAAGTGAAATCAAGGGTTCCGCCAGAAAAAAATAAGAAGATAAATATTAATTTCACCACGTAAAAAAATTACGTAGTCTTGAATAATTTTTGTCAAATATTATGTCAAAATACTACTAGGGTTCCGCGAAGTTTTAAATTTTATGAAAGGGTTCCATGGCTAAAATAAATTGAGAAACGCTGTTCTAACTTAATCTAACAAGTTATCTAAAAAAAATATATCTTGTTACAACTACAAAAAAGTCTTTTCAAAATTTAGACTATAATATTCACCGATTCACAGCTATCTTCCTCTCTTCAATTGTAAAAAATTTCTATCGCATAGCAATGTTTTGTTACATTGTGCATTGGTCTGTGATTGTGTTTACTCTTCCTTGAAAAGTAATTTACCACGCATTTAGATGATACTATTATCTTGTTTTAAAATACTTTACTACTGTTCTCTCGAAACTAGTTTAATCCTTCGCTCCGCAATCAGACAAAACGCTGTTGATACTCTTCAGAAACTGTACGAATTTACTTCATGGTTCATTATATCACCCTACAGTTTGAACATTTTTTTTCTCGTTTTAGATTATTGATTGTTTATGTATTAAAAGAAGTGAACAAATTTATTTTTCTACAATATATTGTATCCGACGGTTATTGACTTCTTTATTATTTATCTTCACTGACAAAAACCAATCCTGTTTCTTCATTCAACAAACGATCCGGCCAGAATGGTTCACTTCATGGCCAGTCAACCAATGATTCCAGATTTGGCAAACTCACTACCTACGACGTATACATTTCATCCAAACAACCAAGCTGACGACCTATCTACACAACAGCAAGCTCCACCATCTTCTTCTCAACCCTCTACGAACAACAATCAATCATCACCAAATGGACCGATACGCTCGTCGGGAACTCATCCAGGAGACTATGAATCACGATTACGTTGTCCTCAATGTGAAACGTGGGTGGTGAATCTCAGTGATCATTTAAGAAAAACACATAGAATTGCTCTGCCGATTGATCGAAAACCATTATTACGTCGAGCAAGAGAAGGTATAACTCTGTTTCATTTCAACCCATAGTTTAGTATACAAGTAAACATCTGTTTGACTTTAATGTTAATTGGACATTTTTTACGGCATCTTCTTGGAGTAAAACATAGTGAGTTGAAATTGTAGAATTATGCATTTTATTATTTGCTTCTTTCTGTGATATTGAAAAAAAATTAACCTTCATAACGCAAAAGAAACATGGTCAGTGAATAAAGCAAATCTCCGATAGTCGATCTTCTTGATCAAAGACGTCCTAATCATTTTTTTCTTATCTTTTTTCCTTTAGAAAAACGTCGAATGGCTGAATCGAATAATCAGCAACAACTAAACACAGTTGCTCCACCACCTCGAGCAACACAAACACAGAATATTGTCAATGGTTTACCAACACTAAATTCACATCAGCCGCATAACGAAATTGAAAATTTATTATTTAAACAAGAAAATGATAATTCAATACTGCAACATTCAGTTCAACATCAATTTGCTTTACCAGAAAATATTTTGAATTGCCCGCCGATGAACGTAACGAATATAGCAGGCGGTCAACAACAATATACAACAATAAAACGGCGACGTTCGTCTGACGACGATGATCACCATACTCAAAACAATAATAACAGTAGCAATAACACAAATGGTCTCTTACTTGTCGTCACATCATCTTCACCAAATAAAAAACAACGAACACAAATTGTTGATGGAAAAATGCAGCATCAACAAAAACAAGGGAAAAAAGGACGAAATAAGAATATGAATAACACCAATAGTAAAACACAGCAACAACATCAGCAAGACGAACCATCTGACGATGTAAGACAAGTAGAACAAAATATATTGAATCCCGATTTCGCTGTAAGGACCTGTATTTTTGCCAACAACATCATCTCTACTTGAGAATGAATTGGAAAAGTAACAGTAACATATTTCTTATTTGTGAAGTGAAAGTAGCTTTAAAGAATCGATTTAAAATACACTAACTCTATTTAATTTTATTGAGTAGTATTTTTTTTCTTCTAATACTGTAATGTAGGTCAGTTTGAACGCTAATTTATATCTTTGTTTACTGTCAAAAGATCCTGACATGTTATTAAACACATCGCTTTATCGTTGTGCAAGTCCTAACTTGGCATTAACGCTTGTTAACTTCAGATAAAATGAACCATTCCAGTTTGCGATATTGATGTTTTGAATATGCATATCCTTGTTCCTAGATATTAATTTTTTTCCATCATTTTCACTTGATTTTTATCGTTTAGCTGACGAAAGTGATTCAAATGTTGACAAATGAAATGACATTTTTAAATCAACATTTACAAACAACGTCTCTCTTGTTACAAAAACAATTGGATTTAGCAAGAGATAGTTTACATGCTTGTTCGGTTCAGTTTGCCCGTAAGTTGCTGATTTTATATTTATCTATATGAAAGCTTTCAATAATTTATATTAAAAAAATCTATTATTTCATTTAGAATTGAAGAGAATGATTCAACAACAGATATAATGTTCGAATACAACGTGACACAAAGACAAACTAACGCAGAAGAGTGTTTATTGTCTTTTTTTCTATAAATTTAAGAAAACTGAGAATCAAGAGGAGAAGTACCGCACCGTAATAGGTGTATCTTGTACATTCACGATAGTGTGTATATATATAGATGGAAAACATATTTTGTTTTTTTTTCTTTTTTTGTTTACTTTTTGAGAGGATATATCTGCTTTTTTCGTGTGTTTTTACACTTATATTGCTATTGTTTTTACTTTGTACCTTTTAACGATATGCCGTTGTTGTATCACTAAGAGCACGTAAAAGTTCAATTTTTTTTCAGAAAAATAAGCTGTTCTGTTGTGATATGGAACCTCTTTTTATGTTGGAAAACGTATTAGTTGGTCTCGAAAGCAGATGGACAAAAAAACAGAAGTCACTTATTTCTTAACAGTAAACATTATTCTTTTCGCCCCTAAAACTAATTTAAAACAACAGAACGTGACTAAACATCATCCAATTAATTCTGTCGCACTTAATAGTAGATTTGTATACATGAACTGTATTTTAAGCTCCTTATATTGTGGATTATTTATTATGTCTGCGAGGCAGTCTAACAACAATATTTTTCCAACTATTTTTAGCAAACTTTGGTTAGTCTATATGATTGTGACGTTGATAAAAGTGAACACTGATTGATAAATATGTTTGAATTTGAGACAATGTATTTCCTATATTGATGCTAAATAAATGATAAGGATCTTAAGCATAACTAAACCACAAAATCGTAGATACAAATGGAAGAAAGAAACTAGCTGCTTTGCATGCCACGCAGCGCCATAGTATCAACCAATTAAAACGATGGAAGATAGAAGAATAGAGTTTCAAGGTAACAATTTACGAGATGGATATTTTTACTTGTAGAAGATTTTCAACGTTAGCGTAGCTTCACTTAGGAGTAACTCACTTCGATTGGGGTTTCTTTCTACAACTCTAAAGTATCTCTGTCTACTTCAGAGATTCAATAGGTGGTCCTTATTTCCCAGAACCGCTGTTGCCCTTCTTCTGTGTCACAAAATCGTGTAGTATCTTGTACTATTTCAAGTTTCTTTGATTTGTCACCTTGAAATCTGTCATGGTTTTTTTCTTTTTTGTTAGTTTTATAAGAAATATTAAAATCTGTTTTAGATTTCTTATTTAATATGGCGTTGGCAGTGGCGTCATCATCGACAACATCTCCTTCAGTGACATCTAGTTCCAGTCTTCTAGCGTCAAAAAAATCTGGTTCAACAACTCCTGGAATTAAAATTGAATTAGCTAAAACATATCAGTTTGATGTTGATTTAGAAGATGTGGATCGTTTACTTGAAATGAGACAAAAATTTTATAAAAGAGAAAGTGATCGAAAATTACTCAAATTAGGAATTCCGTTAATTAGTGAAACAGATGATAATAATCTATCTGCAGATCAATTATATGGGAGTTCAACAACAAAAACATCGATAAAACATCGTGATCTTGAATGGTTATATGTTATATTACCTTACGTCAAACTCTACAATCCACATTGCGGTAAATAAATAGAATTTTATAATAGAAAAAAGCTATTGAATGGTTTTTTCTTTTACATTAAGGGTTATGTGCTTCAACAAAAAACTATGGTCGTCGATTAGACACTGCTCAAAGTTATTTATTACGTGTTTATTTCTATTGTCAAGCAAACAATTGTGGTTGTCCATTTCAATCTATTGTCACAGTCAAAGACAATGGTAAAGCATTGCTATGTACACGTTCATCAAATGGACATATCGTTGATCATTCAAAAGCAAAACGTGTTATGCGACCAAATCGAGCTGTCGGCAGAGCTGTACAAGAGCGTAAACGAGAACAACAAAACGAAACAACTGAACACAATAATATTATTGACGAATGGAATCAATCCGTGTTCAATGATACGAGTGATTTTAATAATACTTATCATTTGACCACAACTACTTCCACAGTAAATAATAATACCAGCTTAATCAGTATTGAAGGCGATTTTGAAGAAACAAATCGTACATCGTCTACAAAAAGATTTGTGAATATGTGTTTCGATTTGACACAATTAGCAGCTACATTACGAACCGAAATTAATCAAAATGGACTCTTAGTGGGTGCAATACAAACTATTTCTATGTCTCCATTTTATTTTACTTTGCATACAGAATCATCGATACGTTATTATCATTCACAATTAACAAGGAAACATCAACCAAAAACTCAATTGCCTCCTGTAACACAATTAACCATTCCACCATCAACTTCCAGCCAAAGTAAGTTAATTATTTTTATTGAAGAATTTTTTGAGTGCCGTTTGTTTATCTATTTGTTTAAGTAATAATTATTGATAATGGTGCGTTTCATACAACAACGCAACCGTCACAATCGTGTGAACAATCTATTGCCTGTATGATATGTGAAGTAGTTGAACATAATGGAAAAAAATTACATTATTACGAATTAATGTTAACAAATAATGATGATACATCATTTATACCCATCACTTTGACATATGCTGATGGTGATGATTCATTCACACCAAGCAATGAAGTTGAATTATCATTTTGGTTAAAACGTTTTTTATGGGATCATGAACAATTACATAAATCATCATTACCACAAAATATACAAGATTATTATTTTCCTCAACCATCGGTTCTTCTAGTTAATTCTCATCGTGATAATGTGTTAAATAATGTGTGTTTAGAATTTTTTAATCAAGAAAATTTTAAAGAATATTTACAACGGACGTATGTTTGCCTAATAAATCGTTTACCACAAGATAGTTTACCACGTATATATGCAAAAAAAAATAATAATAAAAACGATGGAAAAATATTAGTACAAGAACAATTACCATCACAACCAAAAACAATTTTATTCGTTTCTTCAACAACAATTTTGTATGAATTTCGTTTATTGGTTATGAAACATGTCTCATCAGAATTAAGACAATTGGCATTGTGGTCGAGTCTTCTGTTATTACATACAAATAATTGGAATGATATTAAATTGAGTTGGTCATTAATATGTGAAATATTTTTGAATTGGGGAACAAATTATGTATCATTGAAGTCCTATGAACTCTTATGTAATAAAGTAGCTAAAATAGAAAATGATCCGGATATAATGTCTGGCTATAATAATGTTTATGATACTATGGAAAATAGTAATGAAACTAAAAGTGAACAATTTGATGAAATAGACAATGAAAATGATGAAGAAGAAGAAGAAAATAAAAACAGTACAAACGAAATTGATTTATCAGATTTTCAAAATGATCATTTTTATACAAATAAAGTAAAAAATGTTTTGCAACTTCAATTCGATTCTATAAATAGTTTGTTCTTTTTTTTATTTAGATGTTTCATAGTGGATCAAATATATTTGTATCACCATATGAAACTGATTTGAGAAAAATTTTTAATGAAAAAAATAAATCAAAACCTGCATTACTAGCATCATTCGATTCGTTATCAAATACAGATAAAATTATACTAAAAAAAATTAAAGGTAATTATAAGTGGTTACATTCATTACTTAAAGAATATATACCAACATTACCACTGTGGAGTAATCTCATACATTCAATATCAAATAATCATAAGACTGTACGATTAAATAAACGTATACAACGAATTATGGCATCGAAAGATCGACGATTGAATAATATTAAACGAATACAGTTAGGTGAGTTTATAAAACTCATAACTACATGAGCAATTTGTTTAAGTCTTTATTATTTTTTTTTTCTCTTTCTAGCTGAAAAAGTACATGGAAAAACCGATTTGGTTGTTGAAAGACTGGCGAAAGACATGGTGAATATTGTATCGATTGCTGATACAAGAAACATTTAAAAGTGAATTTTATTCTTTTACAAGTTGAAATAGTCAGGTATTCATTTTCTTCTTTCCATTTCATATTGTACAGTAATTTTGTTTTCTATTTTTTTGTTACTTATTAGATTTATAAGCATGAACCTTGTTTTGTTTTTACTGTACTATGTTCTGTTTTTCTCTCACTCTTTCTCTTGCTTCGATAGTAGCAACAGAACTTCAATAAAAAAGTGTGCTATACAGTGCTTCTGGTTTTACATGGGCCGGTTATTTGATCAATTCACGGTAAAACTTAATAGTCTCGGAAGGAAAAGTCTTACGAATACCTAAAAAATTATAAGCCATTGGTAACTAATATTATTTGTATTCTAAAAATGAGACATAATTTTTCCTGAAAAAAAACGAAAAGTAACGAATAAAAGACAAAAAATTTATGTTCAAATATAGTGAACAAGTCTTTAAACAGTAGTAAAATTGTAATATATACATATAAAAGTAGAAAAGTTAAAATAAAAACAGTTTCATTGCATGATTAAACGATTTATTTACTATTTGTCTAAGTCTATGTAATTGTTTGTGAAACTTCGGTATATTTGACTTTGAAATAACGATAAAGGAAAAATGTTGCCAAAATTCCGAATAATATTGACACTAATTCAATAATTAATTTAGCTACATCTTCAGCAAGAGCGTAAGAATCCGTTTTTATTTTTATCCCTGTTTCTCCTTCTGTTAGCGATGCTCCACGATAATCTGATGATTTAACAATACGCACGATACCGAATATGAGTGTCAATATAAAAATAGCGATAAGAACAACACCCGATATAAGCATGATGATGCTTTTATTGTACCATGTTGCATAAATAGCCAGTCCAATTGATATTAAAATTACAACACCTATACAGATCATTGTAATTGAATAAGGATTTGGCCTGCGTATTGTTTGTAAAGAACCGTGAATAATATATAAAAATAATGTACTTGATAATAGAAACCCATAAAACAGGGTTAATGCTATCCGAATTCCACGAATTCGCCTTTTTTGCTCTTTAGTAAATGCCATTTTAATTATAGATAAAAAAAAGTCTATGAAAATCTAATCAAAAACAGAAACATAAACTTGAAAAGCAAATAATAGAGAAGAACATAGTAAGATAATTAATTAACGGACAAATACTGAGTCTTTTTTTTAAAAATATTTTTTCTACGCGATCGAACACAGGAGGAGTAATGAGTAACTCACTTATTGAACTTCTCATAAAAACCGCAATACTTTCGAGCATATAACTGTAAGATCTGACGAATATGCTATGGATAACTTGTCTAGCAAATTTTAGGTAGTAGATGAGAGTTATACCATTATAGCTTTTGTATTAAATACACCTAAAGTAATTTAATAGCCTAGATGTATCAAAACTGTCAGCTTATTTTCATTTTTTATTAGTTACGATTGAATCTCTTTCTAAGATTGCAGAGTAAAAAAAAATCTATAATGCTATAACTTATAAGAATAGTTTAGTTTATATAGCGCTTGATTTTTCAATTATAGACTTTGTTCTACATTAATCAATTATTGAATCGCAATTTTAAAAAAATGTATTATAACGAAAAAAGAATAATATGCAACAGTTACGTTTCTATGTTTAAAACTATTAATAATTTCAATATGCACATGGTAACGACATAAAATAGCTATTATCACTATAACGTGTGTGTAGTCCTAATCTTTAAATTATTCAAGTATTACTGTACGAAAATTTGATGACTTACTCTATTTAATAAAGAGGCGTTTTTCTACATCTCTCCTTGTCTCATTCGACCGATATAACAGTATGTGTTAGTAATACGCGAAAAAAAAAGAAAAGAAGTATGTAGTTTATCGTCCTTTCTTTCTCATAAATGTACATTGTTTCGTGCCAAAGATGTCTAGATTATTCAACATTTTTTTTTCCTTTCTTTACAAACTTGCAGTCTTTGTATGTCAAGAGTACAAATATTATAGTTCGTTCTACTAGAACAAAATTGTTTTGTTTTGGCAATCGTCCCGTTTTTCCGTCTATCGTCAAAAGGCAAAAATTATTTATCGTTCTTGATTTTGTATTTCTTTCATGTATAATGTATAATCTCGTAGACAGGTGGCATTTGTACTATTACTCACCGAACGTAGGTAAAGAAAGAAAGAACAGCAAGAAGATATATTTATTTAATTTGTACAACAACCATCTCAACTGATATTAATGTCTATATATATATCAATAGAAAATGTATAAAAATGCATGAATATAAAACTTGATTCAACACAAAAGAGAACGATTGATATGAATGAGAGACCAATGAAGAAATTAGATCAGCTTCGAGCATCTGGCGTACACGAAATTTTTATTATAGAGAAAAAGACTGGTTAAAAATCAAATAGATTATTTACTCATCAAAAAACAAAAAATATTCTTGTTTGCATTTGATAAAATCTATCATTCAATTGATTAATATTGAAATTATCATGTAAATCTCATAATCAGTAATTTATCATTCCAGTCTTAACAGAATAAATTTGTCGGTGATGTATCTTCAGAGGAGAGGACAATGGAATCCGAGTCTTGGTCCAATAGGATCTTGGTATAAGTCTTTGTCCAAATAGGTCTCAGTTCAATCTTTCTGAGTGCTTAGCCCAAACTTCTTCTTTCATTTGGATTATAGTCAAATCGTTTCTTGAATAAGAGTTAATATTAAAGCAAAATAAAATTTCGATTGACACAATATGCTTGTTGTTTGGTATTTAGATCTTTTCATTACACAAAACGATACGAATTTCCCTACGTTACGATCAATCGGGACCATTCGACTGCAATATGAATCAATTCGGCTTAGTGTGATAGGAATTATCCTGAGCTTTCTATATTGTTCTATCGCGGTAATAAAACTATTATTGAAAGATCAAATTTTTCTAAGCAAACAATCGAAAATTTCGCGATTTTCAGATTGCTCAAACAATTTTGGAGTCAAAAAAAAATTGACTTAGTGTTAGAAGAGTTAAAATTTAATTCTTACTCTTAAGATTTCAACAGGTTTTATAGAAATCCGCCGTAATGACAAACAATTAATTTAGAGTTGTTCTGTGTTCTATGTATCTAATGTATGTACCTGATCGTGTTCTGAACGTTGCAAGTGGTTCAGTTTCAGTGGCGCACTACTACCATCAACATACCACGGTTAACTATTATTTTATAGACATTTTATACAGAATATTAAAGACTATCGAATTGAGAATTTTATTATCCTGTAACAGACGATGTGAAATTGAAATTTGTGACGATTTGTTGGACTTTTGTTGATAATTATTGACTAATTCCTGATTGCCTGATATTTTCCAGACTGCTAATTGCAATGTTTGTTGATGAATCAATGGATAACTTTGATCTTGTGGTCCTGCTAGCAATTGTAGAAAGATTGGCAAGAGAATTGGATCATCGATGAGTTGTTGAAGAATCAACGGATAGTATGTTTGTATTGACTATATCGAAGCAATCCATATAACTGTCAATTTTTCTTTCTTGGCTTTGGCTAAACAGCGAATAACCATTGAGAAAGGTGGAAAAGCCCATGGATTCCTACCGTGCCGGTTTAATTGAAAGGCACCTAGTGCAAAAGCGGTATGATCTGGTCTATAATGAACATATTTAGCAATCTGAAAAATTAATTTAATCCACGAAAAACTTGATTTCAAATTTTCTGAAAAGTTTTTCAAGCTATCAAACATGTCACTATTTAATTTCCAATTTCTGATACCGTTCAAATATAGAGATATCCAATGGGCATGAACATTTAATTTTTCCCGTAAATATTCTGCTGTTACGTGTAGTCTAAGTTGTATACAATAATACAACTTATAGAGAGGCTCTGTGGCAGCTTCGATGAGATCAACAGAGTGTGTACCGCCTCATTTACTTCTATGAGCTGGAAAACTACCGGCGCTGTCAACCACATCGAAAACGATCTTAGTCCCATTGTGGAATACGCCGCAGAGCCTTTGCTGCCGTAAAATCATACCTAAACTATAATTTCATACTTAAACCAATTAAATGGAAGTCGAAAAACATGAAAACTTTCCAAACTCAAAATGTTTTTCGACTTGAACTTTTTCTTCTACTTTCTGCTTCTGCTTCTGATTTCCGCTAAACAGTGTGGCAAAAGTGAGAACTCAGTTTATGTTTGGTACTTTCAAATGTGCTCTTTCTCGTGGTCTGTAAAAAAATTCTTTTAGAGCAGATGATAAATTAATAATGTTATACGAATAATATTATTAATTTACAGTGTTATATTTATTATGGAATTTTAGGTGAAATTTTGTTTTTGTAATTGAGTTATGGGACTTTTACTGAAAGCAGTACTATACCCAAAATTGAAAAAATGAATGAAAAAATGCATGACAATCGACAGAAAAACTATTATTTCGCCGTGGCTTTTGATGTGAAAAAATTTGAAGTGTACCTAAAAGATAGAGCGAAGTCAGGGCTACAAAATAGCTATTCAGTTTTTCTTACTTTCAAAACGCTAACACAAGAAATCATTTTGAGTTTGGAAACATTTCATGTTTTTAGACTTCCATCTAATTGGCTTAGTTTTCTATCTACCCCATCCATGTTCTTTTGATGCATATGACTGTAGAAATAGATCTGGATTATGAGTTATTAATATACGACCATTTTTATTTTCAATATTATCAATCCACCACCAAAGTTCTTGTTTAGGATCATCATTTAATGTTAACAGAAACTCAGGTAATTTATTTATCATCATTTGTCTGGCTGTATGTAATTGAATATATCTATCATGTATTAGTGCTGAAAAAAAGGGCAAGAATCGTCGATGGTAACAATCCTACAATTTTAGGTAGGCGATGAGTACTTCTTGATGAGTAATACTTGTTTTGAAGTAAGAATACCTTTACATGATTTAATTGTAGCTAACAATTATTGTTTTCAGAAATAAAATGTCATATGGTCTGAATTAGTTTCAAAGCTTAAGTATCTGAGTAACTTTGTTGGAATTAAAATCGATTTTATAAAGTTAACAGCAAAATCAGGTGAGTGTAATAGAAATAGTGTATCTTGAGCGATAGCCGCTGCTGTTTCAGGTCTTATTTAGTTAATCGTTCCGAAATCTTACATATAACTGTTAATTTTCTAGCTGCTCGTCTACGAATGTGTGTTTGTATTGTCACATATATTTAAGGGCTAGGACCTGGGCGACTGCAAAGCCCGTCGCTCCCGCTCGATTTTGTCGAAAAATTCTTTCTTCATAACCGAGAGAAGAACTTACACTGTAAACTCATTTTTCTGAACAACAACATCACCGCGAGTAGCTCTCATTTACGCGAGAAATGGATCACAACATTCGCCATTTCAATCTATTTTCTTTGTAATAAACGCTGACACAGATGTGGCAACATCTCAATATCTTAGTCAAATTGCATGAAAACGAAATGTTATTTTCGCCGAGATCAATATTCAAACCTATATCAGTCGAAGAGTTCAACAACACTTTAACATTAATAAATTTACAGTTGTGTAAAAATAATTTGTCTATTCATGTAATCCAACAGTACATAAAAGAAATTAGCTCAACACTTGGTTTTCCATTTCGAACTCATCATCATCTTCCAAACATAGTTCAGCAAGCAAAAAACGTCACAGCAGACAGCGAAGTAAACGTAAAACAACCTATCAAATGTTAAAACGTCTGGCCAAGTAGATGAGTAAGTCTCTGAATCAAATGTAATCCGTGCTCAATTTGTGCTAGTTCTAAACGATAATATATGATGATCGGTAATGCATTATGCGATAATAGAATTAAAATCAAGCATTACGTTTTGTCACTTTTCTGTTAGATTGGTTTCAGATCCTACTTTGTCTTGTCAATTGCCAGTACACTGAGGAAAATTCTGAAATAGCTGACTTTTTGTAGAAAACGTGTCGAACACCAGAAAAAAATTTACCAAAATCTTATGAATCCCGTGTTTTTCTGCTCTTGATTGAGATTGTAACCTTAAAGTATACTCAAATT